GTAGACGCGAAGGTAATATGAGAGCATAGAAGTGGATGCAGTTGATAAAAAGGTCTCCACGTCTTCTGGGAAGAGATGGGCATGGGATGGGAAGGATAGGGAACATATCTTCATCAAGAGTTCACAGATAGACCCTGAACAAGCAGATGCCCTACTCATCCAACAGGGATGCCACTTCATTAAGACAGATGTTGGAATGGGGAATGGGGAAGCTCCAGGGAGAGTTTCCAATGATGAAAGATTGACTGCAGTTTGAAGAGCTTGGGGATAGGAGAATCATCATCCACTTATTTGAGTATCAGTACAGTAAGAAGGTTGGGCACAACCAGATCCTAAAAGTCTTCATGAAGGGCCCCCCAGCAACACTTGAGTCAATCCAGGAACCACAGGTAAAGACAGCACTTCAAAGGGGTTGATTTACCCCAGGGACTTTTTTATTGGCTGATGCAAATGGGATGTTTAATTGAAGAGTAATCTCAAATGAGGAGGAATTGTCCCATGGTGGGATAGTGTAAAAATGTATTGTTTGGTCAGATCAGTAAACAACAACAGATTGACAAATCAATATGTAGAATGAATGAGAAATTGATAGTTGAGTGCTAAGAAAATCAACACAAATTGACATGAATATACACTGCTTCAACACCTTTGACACACTTTGGAAAGTTAAAAAAAGTTACTAGCAGAAGAGTCCCATGGTTGATTTGATGTTTCAATACTGGTGTTACAGCAGGAGAAGGCAAGGGGAGAGGCTGCTATATGAGCACTACTGCAAAGCGCTCTACTGCTAAAACAATGTGTTTGCACTGTGTTGTATTTCAACAATGGGATTGCCTTTATTGCGCTAGTACTCTGCATTGTGTGTTATGATCATCCTCATATCATGTGCCAAATCCCTTGGTTTAGGGTTTGCTTCCTACAATGACTGCCATTGATCAGCATGCACATAAAGCATTGACAATATTAATTGAAATGTATTACATACACCATTATAATGAATCCTATCTTCATTCCATGATTTCCATAAACATTGCATTGTTGAATGGATTTATCCACATTGCAGCAGTGTACTAGTTGCTTACATGGCATTGCTACCTCTTAACAACTCCCTCAAAATTCCCACTATAAAATGTGGAAGAAAAATCAAACAACACAGCGTAACACAGAAGGGGATAGCTATTGGTAGTACTCATAAATTGTATTTGATACTCAATTGTACCAAAGTCAGTCTTAATTGAAACCCTGTCTAACCAACTGAATCAAACAGTTCCATCATTAGGAAACAAGAAAGTGTTTGCAGATGGAAATACACTCATTGTTACTTTTTACTTTTTTGAGTTTTCACCAACCAAATTTGCTCAAAGTTTGTTGTGCTCTGTTCTTGTTGTGACTAAGTGGTGTGACCCAGTATAATCAAATGGATCAACTCTTTTCCCATTGCCATAAAAGTCAATATAAACAGCAAAGAATCTTGCTTCTGCTTCTTATGTAGTAACCTTTAAAATCTTTACTATCTCAACTGGATATTCATCATTTGTATCAATTTTACTGTCTTTATTTCTTTTGAAGAAGCAGACATAACCCTTTGGTCTTCTATTGCCATTTCCGCTACAACTGGTTCCAACAGGGCACTTATAGTGACATACATGGTTAATGTTGTCACTTGTCTTTTTTACATCTATCACCCACTATCACCCAATAGTAGTGTTGTTTGGAAAATATCATCACCAAATTAATGGATTCAAAGCCTAACAAGATCTGAGCAAACCATCAAAGTGAAGTTCTTGTCTAATCAGATAGATTCCTTGCCTTGTGAACCCTGCTTGCCTCTTTTGACTGACTTGTTTAGTGGATTCAAACAAGGGAAGCAACAGTGAATGGCATCAAGAAGCATTGCAGCTTTTAACCAATAAGATGTTATATTCAGACTGTTACCCTCTTCACAGGCATCTGTAATACTTTCTGCCTCAATACCATCTGTTTCCAGCATGACTGGGCATCCAGAATTTGCATGATCCCTACCTGTGCTGTCTGTAGGATATCAGACCGTGGGTATGACTCATATATATGACACATACATATGACACGTATCTACAATTCATACACATCATACATATATGACTCACTCAATCCCATTGGATTCATAAAATCGATATGACTCATTTCATTCACTTGCGTGAGTGACTCGACTCATTCGATTCACACATCACTCGATCCTCACAGTGATCGATTCTAGATTTCATAGTTTGTTGATCCTCAGCACAATAAGAGCATCGACTCACTTTTCTTCTAGTAGAATACATTTTACATCACTATTAGGACAGTCACTCCCACAACCTGCAGTATTCAATAGATTGTTTTCATGACATTGAATTCACTTGATGCAAGACTGTTTTGATAGTAGTTGTACTGAAGTTGTGCTTTCTATCCCCCCCTCTTTCCCTAGCATCTTTTGGAGGTGTTTCACCATATTTCTCTTCTCCCATTCATTCTCAGGTGGACTGCCAGGAACTTTTTCAAGTAGAACTGCAATGGTGATTTGAACATTCTTTTTTCAAATGGCTCCATTATGAGTTGGTTCAAATATAAGAGATTTGAAATATTCTTTAGGAGTTGTGTTAATTGGCACTTCCTCATTGTCTTTGCTAGAATCTGATTCATTGTATTTGACATCCTGCTGGTCCTTGATGCCACTCCTCTTTCTTGGTGGTAGGTTTTTTATCCAATTCTGGCTCTGAAAGCACAACATCATTCTTTTACGACTTTACTGCCAGCAGTGCAGTCTTCAACTCTTCCTCCTGTTGCAATGCTTCATGTTCTCTTCTTTGTCCAACTAGAATTACACTTTTGCACTGGCCTTTTGTCACCATACCACAGACCTCCTCTCTTCTTTTGCAATAACTTCAGATAGGCAATTGGTAATACAGTAGTACTGTAATTGTTATTACCAAAGCATGTAGGGTATCTTTTGTACTAAGATAGTAATGGGTGTGAAATTTATTAATGAAAAATGCAAGCAAACTATTGAATCTGTCAAAAGGAACAATAGAAAAGGCAACCCAAAATTAAGACTGTTAGATGAAGAAAGTTTTGAAATGAAGACTTCTTGCTTATTCTCCAGCATACAGTAGTATCATGATGACTTCTAGCTAGTATAACTAGTAGCTAGTACTAGTGGTGGTACTAGAAGCAGTACTACTTTGTCTGTTAACTGTCTTTCAACTGCTATTTTTTTTATTTTCAGGTTCTGTGGTACCTAGCTATTATGTAGCCCTGAATGAACATATTATACTCCTGGTAGAGTAGTAGTAGTAGCAAGTAGAAATAAGTATTCTTGTTGTGCAAGTCAATCCACTGACAGCCATGTTACTGATTGGTCTCTCAATGTCAAGAAAACATGTTATCTGGCAGGGGTACTACCTACCGGATACACACCTCTATTGTCAGAGAGGTGCAGAACCCTCTGTTGGTAAATTTTTTTCAAATAAAATAATTTCCTGTACACCACGCAAAACAAGGGGGAGAAACAAAGAGAATTTTCCCCTTGTTGAAAGGGCAATATTATCATTGTTTCTCATTGTTATCGTATAGGCTTGGCTACTTGTTTTGGGCCAAACCACTTGTACATTTTTTACTTCAGATATACAGCACTGTATGCCTTTCAATACTCATTAACCCCCTATAACCTCCCATATGACTAKAAAAGGCTTGTTATTGGCTTTTGCTTCATGTGCTTGACATACTTAAGCGTCCACTGGGGACAAAGTTGTAGCTGTTTGAGTAAGTTGAAGCTCTCCTTAATGTTTTATGTGTTTTCTACTAGTATGGGTCAATTTTGAGCATCTAATTAGTACCACCATGTAATGACTAGTGGGATTAAACATTTTACTTGTACTATGCCTACAGCATGCACTTGTAAGGGAAACTGTTTGGTCACAAGACTGAAACTATTTGGTGGCACAACTGGTGGGGTCCAAAAATTAAAGTATTGAGTAAGTGCATTTTGTATGTATGTAATCATTGGCCCCAATGCCAATGTGTGTGTAACATTGGAAGCAAATTAAACTTTGGCACAAACGAGTCAGAAGTTTTGGGGAGGTGATGACACCTGTTGTTTTGTTCCATTTGGCACTGAAGAATTCAGGACACTGGTTTCTCCTATCTCTTGACACATGGCAATTCTGACAGAAAACCTTCAGCTTACGTGGAGGCATGATCACTGTGGAGGCATAGAATGAGAAGGCTATTTTGTTCAGAATGATGCTCTCAGATAATGACCATGATGAAAAATGGAATGATTTCTGTCAATGATGTGAGTATTTCTCATGCATGCACCATAGGAGACTTGGGAAACTTTGAAGTTAATTCTAGGGGCCAAATCTAGAAACATGTTCTGGCAAAACAGAGTCACAAAGGATTTTCCATAAACTTATTCATAAACAAAAACTAACATGATGGTGTCAACAACATGAAATGCATAATATGCTTGATCCGATTTGCATGACACACTCCTGCTAGAAGCAGTTTAGTTTGATGACATCCTCTTCATGCATGGCCCTTGTGAAGGAGCCAGTGAAAACATCAAATTATGATTGGATGCAAAGGATCTTTCATTCCATGAGGATAATGAAAATACTACAAGTTTCAGGAGATGCTATGACATTGAGAGGAAGTTGAAGCTTTGAAAAAATGATTTGGAACGGCAATTCCCTGGTTACACAAATATTGGTACTAGGCGGGTTGCTTACAAGTTTGACTTCATCTACCACTCACACTTTAGCTGCCAACCAGCACACCAACTATTTCACTGAGAAACCAGGTTTGGATTCATGCATTGAGAAAACAAGTTGGCCTTGTTACCAAGGCTTTGGTTGTGGGCGACTTGTCAACTATCTCAACCGGGAAGATGATACTAGTAGCTCTTTGATGGAGGTTTCACAGTTCTTTTCAGAACACAGGAGCTTGCAACTGAGGACTGATGAACTTCATTTCATCCTCTACTACTTGCTTCCACTTTGGCAGCCAGTGCTTGTGGGCAGCGGCCTTGGGTCCTTTGTAAACAAGGGGCCCTACTTGGTGCCTTGCCTTCTTGGTTTTTGTGTTCCTCCTGTTTATCTTTGCCCTCTGCTTTGGGTGGGGGTAGACAGACAATTTCCTAGGGCTTGTCTTTGCTGAGTCTAGGGAGCTGCTGGTGTATTGATATAGTACATATTTGTTTATTGCTCAGTTTGCTGCTCCAGCTGCTTCTTTTGTTCCTGCTTGCTTTCGGCAGTATCCTCCATTTTTAGTTAGGGTTGCCCTTGTCACGGGGGGGATTGTTCTTGATGGATTCTGCGAGGAGGAAACCTGATGGATGCATTGTGTCAAAGTACAGAGAAATGCATCCACCACTCATCATCCCGATTCACCCGAGACAATACAAAAGAAGCAAGGGGGTGTTATGCCAAATTTCGAGGGAGTAGCATGACTAGTGGCCTACGTTAGTGAGCTAAAAATAGCAGTCCATCTGTTGTGGGACTGAATATTCATACATCTTGTGTGGGTCGCTATAATTATAATTTGCACTTTTTTTTGAATTTGAAAAAATATCCACCAAGTCTGGTACTGTAGGAAAGATCGCTCTTCTTTCCGGATTTCTTGTCTCGGTGGTCCTCTGAATCCACCACGACGATCCTCGCGATCTTTGGCATCACGATTGTGCGAAACCCGTCGACCCGGTCTTCGGAGGCACTGCGTTGCCCACTCTTCCAGCTCGACGGGCCTGTTTCAATCCTCGTCTCGTTCCGCAAACACCGGACCGGAACCGGTTGCCGCTCGCACCACACAACCTTGTTTCCTCTCTCATCCAAACCCCCTTCCGCTGCTGGACTTGGGTTTCGTTTGGTTCTTTGGTTCGTTGTCGCCGCCGTCTTCCTCCTCCTCTCCCAGCACCACCAGTGTCGTGAACAGGACGTTGACGGTTTGCGTCACGACGGCCAACCGGACCATTTCCTCCTCGTCGATCCCGGGCTCGGTGTCTTCCAGTGCCAGGATGTTTCTGCCGGTGCCTTTTGCTTTCTCGCCGGTGTCCGGAAAGAGCAGGTCTTTCCGGGACTCCACGAACCGGTTCGCGTTCAGCCCCATTCCGGTCTGGTGCACACCCACCAGGTCGGCCAGGATCGGGCCGTAGGTGGAAGCCACGCTTTTTCCGGGCTCGCGGTCGTCTTCCTCGTCGTCTTCGGTACCGAGGACGTGTTCCATGACCAGGTACACGGCGCGGATCCACGTCTCCCGGAGGTCCCGCTCCGTTTCGTCCAGGGTCCGCACCGACGGGGGAAGGGCGTCGACGCACTCGCAGACGACCCCGGCGGTGGCGCCCGGATACTTCTTGGACGCCGTGACGACGGCCACCACAAAGAGCTTGAGGGGCTGGACGTCCCCCTTGGAGAGTGCGTAGCAGGCCTGGAAGAAGGAGAGCTCGATCAGTTCCAGAACCTGTCCGGCCGAGAGGCTCTCGATCTCGATAAAATCGTCGCCGCCGGGTTCCTCGCCGGGGGCCGTTCCGGCCGAACGAATGGTGCGGCTCAGGGGCCGGGCGAGCCCCGGGGAACGAAAGGGTTCGAAAGCCACTGGTCGGCGGCCGTGCCCCGTGCCCCGAGAAACAACGGGAGCGGCGTTCTTTGGTGACCACGATTCTACCAAAGCGCTCGGTTGGTGCCGGGTGCAGAGCAACAAGGAGACTAGCAACGACATCATTGGGAGCACCGGCTTCGTTTTGGTTTTGGCTGCGGTCGATGCCGATGCACCCGCGATGGATCTTTGGCGGCTTTTGCCAAGCGCCATTTTTTTCGGTTCTTGCGTATTGCTTCGTTGCGTTGCCTCCAATTGCCGGACTCGTGTTGCCGTTATCGGGATAGGTATGTGGGCATGCGGTGTTGCCAAAGAGTTTCACGAGGACCTGTTTCGTTTCGAAGCACGGAAGGTTCGGAACACTCTGAAATCATGGATCGAATTCTGTGCTGATCCCACAGCGATTTTGATGGTTGTGATGGTGATGTGAAGGCCGAGGCCGAGATGATGGCACGTGTGGATGTTGATGGTGGGGGCAGATCACCTGTTCCTGCCTCCGAAACGGGGGATGTTTTTTTTCCCCAGTCGTGCATACAGTATCGGAACGGCACACGGGATTGAAAAAACACGATAGTGTAGTCGAATCGAAGCAGTCAATATCAATATTGGCGTTCTCGTGAATGTGTACGTACGAGTACTGTCTCGTGAATGTGTACTGTCTCACAAAGAAAAGACACGATGACTTTCGTTTTCAAACATCGAGATTTTGTCGTCTTGATTCCTGAGAGTTCATTCCATTCGTCCAAAGAAGGCACCAACAAACTTCACCACAACACACCACACCATACCCAAGTACTTGCGAGCAGCGAGCATTGCAGCACGGAGCCGTACCGTACGCAGCACACAACAACGCAACACGAGGCAAGACAACACAAGTCACATCAATCCGACCCAATCCAAAACATGAACGCCGGATTTCTCGCCGAGCTCAAGCAAAAGGCCAAGGCCACCGACGGCGCCAGCGCCAAAACGCCCAAAGCAGCCGCTGCACCCCCATCGGCCAACGCTTCCCTGATGGAAGCGCTCAAGAGCAAGCAGAAGGATCAGAAAACGAACAAGCTCGGTGCATCCGAATCCTTGATGGCGGCACTGAAGGCAAGAAAGCCCCCGGCGGTGGGTGCTGCTAGCTCTCAACCAGCACCAGCACCAGCAGGCAACAACCAAAGCCGCGCCGGAAAGAAAACGGCAAAAAAGACGTCCTCCTTTGCGGAACAGCCCTTCGAATACCATCCCTGCGAGAGCAACGACGGCGATACCAGCGACGATCCGGCCGACTCGGGCCACGGTTTCTTTCTCTTTGTCTCGGACGGGGAAACCTCGGACGATTTCGTCCCGAGGATCGATGCCTCGAACGCCGGCGGCGGCACCACCACCACCACCATCGAGGTCCCCCTCGCGCCCCTGGTCTACCGGGCGTGCGACCACACCTTCGAAAAGGCCGTTCGCAACAAGACGGCCGTCGCCGCCGACGAGTGCGTCCGCAAGCTGGGGATCCTCCGGGCCCTCCAGCGCGAGAAGGGCGTCTTCAACGACCTGCTGGCGGACAGGCTCGCCGCGAGCAACCCCCTGGAGGAGGAGGAGCTCGGAAAAACGCGGTTCCTGGAGCTCCTGTCGAACGGGGGCGTCGCCCGGACCGTCGTGGAGCTCCTCCTCACCGAGATGGCCCGGGCCCTGGACCACCCCAAGCCTTCGTCCGGCAGCGACGACCACAACAACGACGAAGACGACCGGTCCCCCCTCGCCGTTTCCATTGCCGGCCTCGACGACCTCTTGGAGGCGATCGAGGGGGCCGTCCCGGAGCTGGCCGCTGCCCGGGCGGAAATCGAGGGCACGCAGTCCGTCTCCTTCTATCCCGGCCTGGGGGAGCTCTTTGGACCCGGCGCCAAGCTGGTCTGCTACCCCGAGGGGATGGAGGGCAGCCCCCTGGGGGTTTCCTGCGTCCAGTCGTGGTACGCGGAGGACCACAACCACGCCACCGGGACCACGAAGCGGCGGTTCGTCCTGGTCATCGAGTTCCTGGTCAGCGTCGGCGACGAGCTGGTCTTTGTGGCCATGACCGGTGCGTTGCTGGTTGTGTTTTTGTGTGTTTGTGTTTTTTGTTGCCTTTCTTGGAACCCGCGTTTTCTTCCAATAATCTATGTGCAAATCTTTCTCCATTGACGCGCTTGTTCTCCTATTGCCCGTCTTCTATTTCTAGACGTATACCCGGAATTCCACGACACGAGCCGGAATGTTCCGCTCAAGGACCTGAGCCACAGAAAGCTTTCGAACCACGGAGACGATGCCGCCCTGCTCGAGCGCCTGCAGCAGCGGGGAGAATTCTACGCCAGCGTGGCCACCAAGAACCACTTTCTAGAATACTACGCGGACTCCTTCTTCCCCATCCTCAAGGGAGGCGGGTGGTCCTCCAACGCCGTCCGGCCGCTGTCAAAGGGCGGACGCGTCATGGTGGACGTCAAGCGGGGGATTCTCGAGGGACACATCGCCGTCCGCAGCGGAAGCTCGGGGAGCGGGAGCGGAGACGCCACCAGCGACACCGTCCGGGAGGCCATCAAGCTCTTTGAATCGTCCAAGCGCACCGGAATCGCGGTCCCCTTTCGGACCTGCGTGCTGCCCGACAAATTCCGAAACACCAGATCCGCAAAGAAGGCATCCCCGGACCCGGCCAAGCACCCAACCCCCCGGGCCGGGGCCTCCGATCGGGAGCGGCTGTGGATGTCCTGGCCCATGCTGGTGGGCTTTTCGTTCACGGCCCGGGTATGGGGCAAGCTCTTGCTCGGCATGCCAAAACCGATCGTTGCACCGAAACCCGAGCTTCCGTCGGCACCGCTGTCTCCCGGTCGGGGCCTGGTGGCCCAGCAGCGGCCGTCCTCGCGCAGGTTCGGCGTCGAGATTGCGGCGCTGGGGGGAGAGGGCCGCAGCGGAAACTGCGGATACATCAGCTTCCAGACCCAGGCCTTTGACCAGCTTGTGCTGGCGGAGGACAAGAAGGAACTGATCCGGGCCGTCGCACGGAATGCCGGTGGTGGCGGATTCGACGAGGACGACAGCGACGACGACAGCGACGACGAGGAGTTCGAGAACGTTGGCATCGACGTGGTGGCCAACAAGGGTGGGGCATCGATCTTTTTGCTGCACGGTCCCCCGGGGTGCGGGAAGACGCTGACCGCCGAGGCGATTGCCGAGCTTCTGGAGAAACCCCTATACATTGTCACGGCAGGAGACCTCGGGATCTCCGCCTCCGAGGTCGAGCAAAACCTGGGATCCGTCCTGGAGCTGTGCCAAACGTGTAAGTGTTTGGCGTTTTTGCTGCTCAGCCGTGTATGGCTTCTTTTGGTACTCTCACATCGGTTCGATGTCCACTAATTCGCAATGTTCTTGCCATTGTTTTTCGTTTCATACAGGGGATGCTCTGGTGTTGATCGACGAAGCCGACGTATTCCTCGAAGCTAGAAACAGCACCGAGATTGCTCGCAACGCTCTTGGTAAGAACCGATTCACTAACTCACAACTTATGTGTTATGGAAGCAAAGGGGTTCGTTGATTCAATGGCTGGCTTGCTCATCCACCAACTCGTTCTCACATGTGACCTATCTTTTCATTTGACCCCAAGTATGTGTAATGCTAAGACTGCTCGAGTATTATTCTGGGTGCCTATTCCTGAGTTCAAACAGATCTGCAGGCTCTATCGGTACGTTCTGCAGAAGCGAAATCATGGACTGGTTTGCGCTTATTCGATCAATCCTTCTCACATTGTCAAACGCTTTCTTTTCTTTGCTCAAAAGACGCCGCAATCGCCAGCAGAATCACGGTCATGCTGGGCTATCCCAAGCTAGATGCCACTGGGCGGGGAAAGGTATGGCGCAACCTGATCGAGCTCGTTCCGGTCGTTCCAACCGACCCTTCTACGGGGAAAGCCTCGGAAAAGATCCTCTCCAAGCCACGAAAGGCCTCGAGGTACCGCGACGACTTTTCGGCATCCGACTACCAGAAGCTGGCGGAGCAATTCGAGCTGAACGGCCGGCAGATCAAGAACTCGATCGTTCTGGCGCGGGCCCTGGCCAGGGAGCGGAGGACGCCCCTGAACCTGGCCGTTTTGCACCGAGCCGTGGTGGCCGTCGCCGGAGAGGGCGTCGGAGGAAGCAAAACAGAAGACAGCAGCACGAGTGGCTACTAGGATTTTGTGTCTCCTCTTTAAGCTTCAAATACTTCCAACATATTGTCTTTGGTGAATACTACGAATCTATTGAATAGTTCCATAGTCTTCAGAGGTAGTTTTGGATAACTAAATTTTAAATTTGTGTTCTGAATATCGTACGTTCTTGGTACTAGTTAAAAAAAAACTAAATATGTACTGTAATGTTTTTTTGACAGTTTTTTGCCACTGTTTTTTAAAAAAAATTGAGATACGAAATTTGAATTTGAAAATATTCTAAACTGAATATGAATGAATCAAAATAGTCGAAGTCAACCAATGAACGTCTGTCATCTCCCACAAAGATCGTGTGTGGTGGCAGGCGCTGAGGTTCATGGCGTTGTTTTCCAATGTTGCCTGCGGCACACTACACCACACCACACCACACCACACACCACAACACAAACACAATCAACAACATCCTCACAAGCAACGAACGACACGGTCGATTGATCGACTGTCAAGCTGTATCGAACGCTAGATCTAGCGACCCATACCGTTATACATCTCAATAATACAAAAGAGCATTCACCATGGGGAAGAAAAAGGGAGGAGGAATGGTCCGGATCAAACAAACCGGGCCGACCAAGGCCCAAAAGGACATGATGAAGCAGATGGCCAGCGGCAATCCGATGGAGGAATTCATGACCCCACCGGAAGACATGGTTCATTACATTCCTCCAGATCGAAACGCCCAAATGTTTTGGCCGATTCGTAAGTCATCCGCAATCGAGCGGCTAACCTGCACCGTGTTTTCCATGTTTGTTGTTGTTGTTTGCCAAAATCTGATTGTTGGCAACGGCGAGCACCCCGATTGGTGGAAAGATGGCAACGGAGGTACAAATGTGATTCTGTCCGTGCGAAAGCAATGAGGATTGTTGATTAACCAGACTCTTACGATCTGTTAGCAGCGATGTTAATAAGACCTGCGGAGAAAACTATCACAAATTCCTTTGGGTCGCCAAAGGTTTCAGTCTGAGCTTTCGACGATGCGCAGCATTCATTTGTACCTTGCAGGTTTCATGCGCTTGTATCTATCTACTGGCTATCTAGATCAATGTGGAGTGCACGAAATGAAGCCAAAAGAACAATCGATCGATCTGAAATGGAAAATTGTGTTGACGAAAGGAACCGAATCCATCCGAACCGAATCGAGCAGTGATGATTTTTTACCAGCTACACTGAAAGGGGCTTAGTCTCTCCGCACACCCCGTGTAACGATAACGATTTCTTGCATCCTACGGGATCGCGGAACATGAGCTTTGTATTTTTCGGATTTCTTCCGGTTCTACCGTATCTACGCAATTTCCATTTCAATCGATGAATCGATCGATCGAACGGAGCAGTGATGATTTTTACCAGCTACACTGAAAGGGGCTTAGTCTCTCCGCACACCCCGTGTAACGAAAATTATTTCTTGCATCCTACGGGATCGCAGAACATGAGCTCCGTTCTACGACTCCATTTCAATTGTTCTCATTGTTGCTATCATATGCCGAATTACTGGTAGTGGAATAACTCGAAACACCGATCGCGCTTTCTCTTTCTCACATTCATGCTGTACCTTTCTTACTTTCTTGGACGAATTCTTTCGTTCGTTTTGCAGAGGAGATCTTTTCCATGGACCCTAGCAACTTTTTCATTATCTACCCCAGCTACCTCGATTCCTCCAAGACGGTGAAGATGGGACGGCGCATCGCAGCCGAAAATGCCGTTGACACCCCCACGGTGCAGGACATCAGCGAGGCCCTGGCCTCGTTGAGCATACGACACGTCTCCCAGCCCAACAAGGGGTACAGCCGTGATGCTACCACCCTCTGGGACAACCCCGGCCGCGTGAAGGTCGATCCAGCAGCCCTCGAGTCGGGGTACACGAAGCGATCGCTCATGGTGGAACTCGCCTCGATCATTAAAGAATTGCCGTCCCGGGCCCGCCGGCTGGAGGTCATGAAAAAACTGGAAGAAGCGAGGGAAGCGAAGCGCCTGGAGGCCAAGGCGAAAAAGGAGCAGGCGGCCAAGCAGCAGCACAAGCTCAAGTCCCAGACCTCTTCGCGGTCCAGCAACAAGAAGAAGGGAAAGAAACGACGATAGCTACGGGGGCAACACCGCATCCATCCCGGGAACACGGGCAAGGCATTTTTGTCAGCCGGGCTGTATTAATAAATATAACAATATCTTGTACCATGATCTACATCTGCCCTATCGTCACAGTATTCTATTCCATAGTTCTCATTTGATGAAAGAGCCGTATTTGTACCGTGTTCGGTTCGATGGTTCTCCTTCGTTGTTCTTCGTTCGGCACGCAACACGCCGCGACGAACCAGGAGCGCCGGCAAGGGTTGCTCGCTAGCCGCTTGCCCCGGTGCCCCCGGGCGGCAGCGGCCGGCACGGATAGGCCCCGCAGATGTGGCAGAACATCGCCCCTGGGTAGGCCAGCTCGAAGCCGCACCCGGTGCAGCCCCCGCCGCCTTCCGGGAGCCGCTTCCGGGTCGGGTGGACGATCCCCCCAAAGGAATCCACGTAGATGCGAAAGTTGACGAGGTTTTCCTTGGTCCCCACGAAGATTCCCTCTTCGGTTTCCAGCGCGGCGGTGGCCGTGGCAAACTCCCCGTCCGGGAGGACGTCCCCCCAGTACTCGTCGTGGCCGATGACGGTCGCCCCGCTCCCCTTCTCGATGGGGTCCTTCCGGCGCCAGGAGGAGCCGGTCCGGAAGGCCTCCCGGAGGAGGACCTTCCCGGTGGTGTGGACGGCGTAGGGCTCGCCCAGGAGGAGCTGGATCTCGCACCGGTCGTCGGCGATGCAGTCGATCCGCTGGGTCTCGGACAGGGCCCAGCCGACCATTTCCTCCTGGTCTTCGTAGGGCGCGTGGGCCACCAGGCCGAAGGACGCGGCCAGGTCGTCCGTCGCGAAGGTCCACTTTTCGCACATTTTGTCCCGCTTGTCCTTCCAGCCGGCCGGGTCCCCTGCGTCCCCCCAGGTGAAGCTATAGCCCCCAAAGAGCTCGTCGGCCCCGTCCCCCACCAGGACGTCGGTCAGGCCGAGCTTCTCGGCCTTCTGGAAGGCGGCGCTGATGACCAGGGAGTTGCGGATGGTCATCCCGTCCCAGACGGCGAGGGTCTTGATGGTCCGGGGCAGGTGGACCCCCACCAGGTCCTCCGGGGTCATCTTGACGACGTGGTGCCTCTCCGTCAGGCCGTGCTTGTGGGCCGCGTACTTGGAGTAGAGCTCGTCGGGGCTCGTGTCCCCGATGACCACCGTGATGGCCGCGTCGAAGACGATCCCGAGGTCGGTCGCCGCCTCGAGGATCGCGCAGGTGTCGACGCCGCCCGAGAGGATCAGGCCGAGGGTCCCTCCCCCGCTCTTGTTGTTGTTGTTGTTGGTGTTGTTGTCCTCCTTTTCCTTTCGCTTCCGGATGGAGTCGATGCAGTTCTGGGTCGCCCTCGTGAGCCGGCGCTTGCACTCCGCGGCCATGCGGACCGACCGTGGGTCTTTGCGCTCGTTTTCCTCGTGCCTCCACTCCAGCCCGAGGGAATCGAAATCGATGGGCTCGTAGTTGCAGATCTTGGCATCCTTCCCCGAAGACGGCGACGACATATTTTGGCCGTTGTTCTTGTTGTCGTGGCTGCTGCGCTTTGTGTTGCGGTGAAGTGATCCGATTTGATGCGATGCGATGCGATGCGATGCGATAGTACGGTTGATTCTTTTCGGGGGTTCCGATTTCTCACCGAGGAAATTTGGTGATTGCAAGATGTTTTTCCAATCGAAACTGTGACAGCCGCCGATCTTGTTGCGCCTTGCCTTTGTCTTGCCGAGCCGGTATGACTTGTTGCTTCTGTTTTTCTTGACACCGCTTCCGAACTTTCGAGATTCGGTGTGCTTTTTGGATGTTGTTGTTTTTTTGGATACGGTGTTGATTGATGACCAAGAAGCCAAAGATAGAGAGAAAGCTTGATGGACGATCGATGGACTCGATGGGTCGAAGAACGTGCCACAAAGGGCAGGCAGATCTTGTTTTCAGCCGTGCTCCGAATTTTCAGCCGTGGATACGTATGAATACCGGTAGTATGAACATCACCTCCATCGGAGGTCAGTCAGTTGTGGTGTTGTACATCATTTTGGTACGTTGATATCTCAAATACGTATGTTCACCAGTCATCCCACGTTTGTTAGGCTGCGTGTGAGCCTAAATCACGAGTAGATAGTGAATAAGCTCACTCTTTATTGTAAACCACGTATTATCGTACACTAAGGAGCCTATCAACATTTCGCAGGTTATGAGCAACAACAGATGTACCTCAACACTCATCAACCCAACCCCCACAAAGATTAGTAATACAGTAGATTAATTCGCTAGTACTCACCAAATCCCCAGACCTGGAGCATCTGCTTCACGGACCGGCGGAAACCCCCAGTACCGACGACACCCTTCGGAATTCGTCGAAAAATTCTGGACAGACGGTACTGAATTACGTAGCAACCCTACGACGACCTGAAATCCAGAACCCTGGTGTCACTGCACACACCCCTATCGTCAACAACGATAGACACCCACATAGGAAACACAACCATAGTCGCCGACAACACGAAGAAGGATGCCACCAAAGAAGAAGAAACCAACTCGAGGTGGGACTACCCCACGAACCCAAATAGGAAAATACCTCGTGCGAACACCACCACGATCATCACCACCAACACGTATACCAACGAACCCCAAGCTGCAACTAACAGGATACGATGGCAACATCCAACGCGAAATTCGAGCCCTCCAGCTGGTATTTCCTAAACGATCAGACCCCACCATATATAATAAAACCCTCTTTCAGTTCAAACCCAAGTACCCACCAACACCGATCAATTATTCTTCCCTTATCAGTGTCATTCACACTCAATCTCTCTCGGATACAGACAAGATAGTGGCCCTTGGCGACACGTTGAAAGAACTCATCCACCGTAATCACTTCAGGATCCCCCCTGCAAGCACACCACTGAATCGATATCAGTATAGTGCTGCCTTTATCAATTACATGGACACACTCCTCCCTCCCGACAAGGATACTCCACCGGTGGAGATCACGACTCGTAGACTATCGAGACCACCATCACACCTCGCTAACAGCCCGGACCCACCGTCAAGTGAGGAGCTACAAAGACAACATCCCCTCTTGGAAGACACTGCAGGAGATGTGGAACCAACTACAGATCTTGAACCAACCAATACAACGGATGAACCATCAACCTCATCTATCGAGATGGCACCAACAGACCTCCAACAACGATTTGCAAGAGAACGCCACGAGGCAAACCAACCAGCTAGTGGAACTCCCAATGCATCCAATCCCACCAACAGGAACACTGACCCAGATGAATCCAACCCAGACGACTCGTCAACAATGACAGCAAGACTAGAAACCTTGGATAAAACATACGATACAATCGATGCAGAACTCCAAACCATCCAGGACAGCTTAACCGAACTCCCTGATAAACATTCACAAGCCCCACCACAACCAGAGGCCCAGGATGATTGGACCAAACACCTGGCTAATATCGATGCTCGCATCCAAACAATGCAGCAGAACTTCGATCATACGATCCGTGCCACCAAAACTGAACTCTCCAATACACGCAACGAGCTCAACAACACCAAAGCCGCTCTTCATACGGCACAGGAAGCAGTTCGCAACCTACAGCACCAACTGCAATCAATATCACGGACAGATACCCTTGAAAAAGACATTGAAGCAGCTGCAAATACTGCATGGGCACTGGATCAACGGACATCAAAAGCATCAACAGTGCTGGAAACCATAGTCAATGAAACTATTCACCTCAAACAACTTCGAGATGAGGCCAGCAGTATTACAACCAAAACCCCAATCACTTTGGATATGACCCAACGCTTGGACACCCTTGTGGAACAACGTGTACAGCTCCTCCAACAGAAAGGCCATGTTATCGAACAGCAGATCACTGCAGCAGTACTGGAGCAAACTAGAGCCATGGAAGAAACCTTTGAACAAACCATTCAAGACTTGATCCAAGACAAACTGGAACATAAGAATCACATCGTTCAAAGCCTCAAGGACACAGTAATTGCACAGGCTAAACGGGAAATTACATCCCAAGTCACTGCAACCCTACACCAACTCAATGAGGATCTCAATAAAACCAAAAGCACGATGCATCAGGCTTGCAATGATCACATCACGGAGCTAACCTCCCACAAACAGGCCATCACTGAAGATATCGACAAATCAATGGCTGAGGCCCACGAGGGCCTCGACATTGCAAAGTCCATAGCTGAATCAACCATTGAACAGTCTATTCAACGCCACCTCACCACGGATGAATCGATTAGCGACACCATTTCAACTGAAGTATCCACATCCATTTCGAATATCATTCGATCAGCGGATTTTCATAAGGATATCGACAAAACAATTCATTCCTACATCACTACATCGACCACACTGAAGGACTTCATCAAATTCCAGGTCAACGATATGATCACTAACACATGGAAACAACACCACACTCCCAATTCCATTCACACGGAACCACAGGAAGCACCAACAAGAACACCACCGGCGAAGCCACGGGGAGCACCACAAGGGGTATCAACACACCCGCCACCAAAACCTTCCCGCTGGGAATCGCGTGCACAACATGCAGCAGAAAGCAATTGGAGTGAGAGTGATAGGAAATTCGATAGTTATATAACTCACAAACATGATGTCATGGAAGAGAACACTATACACCGACAAAACCACCGTATTAGTAAGGCACTTCATGCCCTGGACTTCAAGGATCTCGATCACAACCTCATTCCTCCCACCAACAGATACCTGACCTCCGCTGAATTCTCTGAACTATACAACGAAATACATACCATGCTATCCTTTGAGAGCCTTCCGATTGCATCTTTGGACCAACTTCCAACATGGCAATCATGTCTTCCCCCACACCATAGGGAAACAGATGAAAGCATACAAAAGATCAGTATGTATATCTACCGACGACTCACTCGCCTTATCACACCGAAAGACAACTCACTCCTACGAGGCCTTATCGCTCCGTATTCGATCCACAGCAGAGGATATGAAGCACTGTATGCACTCGCCAGACACTCGTTAGACTATTTGAAACCAATCCAAAATGGCTGGGGACCAGAATGGACTCCCAAAGATGACCCAGGCACATATGTTGGTAAACTACTGGATCACGTCCGTTCCAGTCAATTAGGACATAAACATACTTACACAGAACTAGACCAATGCCACGAACTCATTTATCAAACAATGACACATTACAACTATGCCGCAGGCTGTTGTTTATTGGTCCAACTGGATAATCACCGACGGGTTACTCCTGATGCACGCAACCAACCGGTACCAGATCATCTCACACTTACAAACATGATCAACTTCATCATTGATACCCCTCACGTCCACCGCAAACCTAACGACAACCCTCCAATCATTACAAAAATGGACAGTGGACACAGACGACGATTCGAATACAAGAACAAGGTCCAATGCGCCTGCTGTCACCTCTATGGACACAATGTTGGAGACCAAATCTGCCGCTTTGGAGCCCAGCTCCACTTTGCACAACAATTTGCCAAAGACAAGCCTAACGAGTTTCGTCAAAATGCAATCAAACACAACAACATGAACACCACCAATGTTGTCAACCACTTTGAACGCAACCTCAACGGAAGACACATTACTGAAGTGGAACACGAAAACGAACGCGAGGAACTGGCACAACTCTTTACAACTGTCCCTATTGATCCCATGGAGGAATAGGATCCAAGCCGTGTCTCTAGCGCGGCACGGCCTTCACCGCAGGACGCAAATCACGAACTCCTCCCTACAATGGGATCAAAAGGATCAACAGATTCACGAGGATTTCCCACACCACGATGTACACCTCACGACAACGATATATTCCAACACAGGTGTCCCTCGGACCCTGACAGCGACCAACAACGAAACAAACAGCAACACAACCAACAGGACCCACCAACACTACACTCACCATGGTCCCCAACACCCAATACTATAATGAAACTATCACGATACACTGAATCAAACGCGGATACTAATGAGGGACAAGGAAAAACCGCAACCGCTGATCCCCCAGTACATTTCCCACGTACTTCCACGCAACCTGATAAAGACCCACCCGCGTACGTTACACCTCTCCACAGTACTACACCCACAGCCAAATCCCTGTATGTACATGGAAGTACAAAATGCACGGATATCCCACCGCACTTGAATGACACCCGCAAGTTTACACTCGCACAAGCACTCGCTGATACTCAATGCGACCAATGTCACTTAAGGCCACAACCTAACACGGAACAAACTTCAACCCCACCATATCAACTTCATGGGAATGACCTTACGCCCTTCGCATTCTATAAGGACTCATTAGCTTCAGAATACAACACCCGCCGCCCGGCCATTCGAATGATACACTCCACACATAGGCGCAACACACGGAATCACATTCAAGTTGCCACCAAAGATTCATATGCTCTGAAAACCTTGAAAAGCGTGGACAGTAGTCAACGCACACCAAGCCTACAAACGGACACTGGTGCTAATGTCTCCGCCACAAACCAACGCGAGCTACTCCACAACTATACGCCTTATCCAATCCCGGAACCAGTTGGGGTATTCTCAGCAGATGACACGCTTGCTCACTCCTTCCAAGCACATGGCGAGGGCTATATGAAAATCATCTCTGACCAAGGACACGTAATGAACTGGTACACACTGTACACACCAAACTCCACTGGAACAGTTATTTCACCGGATCACTACCAGCGTGAACGTAGTTTCTACGCATTCCAACAGGAAGGATGCTTAAACAGCAAAGGAACTATACGATTCATAAACCAGCTCAATGATACTATTGAGTCCATCCAAACAGTCCGGGACAATGGCCTTTGGTACTCCACCAACCACATCCTCATCCGCAACGCGCTTGAGAATGAGCACATTGCCACGGAACTCCAGCGATTCCGTAGCCAGGTAAGTCGGCTTGAACAACAACAAGAGAAGAGCAAACATGATGAACCCCCACATCGAACCAAAACATGGTCATCGGGTCTCTCCAAAGCACTAAAGAACCTAGAACTTTGGCATCAACGATTCGGCCATGTCTCCCCAGACACCCTAGCTAAAACACAAAAGGTCGTAGAAGGGATGCCACCAATCCCCACTGGCACACCCTACTTTAGATGCCCCTTCTGCGAAAAGAGCAAAATGACCAAATATACGGGAAAACGGACGGACAGGAAAGAACGCTTTATTCCCATGCAGTCTTTACACATGGATCTTTCCTTTGTCAGCGGCCCACCTAATCTAACTGATGTAGTCCGCAATCAGGCAAAAGCACTTCCCACCCTAAAGAAGAGCCGACAAGGCCATATAGGATTTCTAACCATTATTGATGCTGCAACTCGAGCTCTTTGGACCTTCCCCATAAAGAACAAGGAACCCCCACTAAAAATCATTGACCAATTTCTTACTAAACACGGCATCCGCACAACCGATCCTCGCAAAGCCATAGTTACAACGACTAATGATGGATATCTTGCAAGATCACGAGCATTCTCCACCACGATTCGGGACCACAGCTACACCCTCACTCCCCAGGACAAGGGATACTTCCTCCAGCTCCTTCCGGAACACCTTGACTGCACCATCATGACTGACGGAGGCGGTGAACTGGCAAACTCCTCCCAATTCAAACAGACTATAACCAATCATGGATACACCTCTCTTACTACGGCAGCTGACACTTCCTCCCAAAATGGCATGGTTGAACGCCCCCATCGAACACTTAAAGAAAGGATTCGCTGCCTTCTATATGCAGCAGGACTGGGCACGGAATACTGGACAGACGCTCTTCTCCATGCCACTTGGCTGTACAATCGAACCTACCACAGTGCTATTGGTATGACACCACTCCAGCTTTATACTGGACAAATTCCCCTAGTGGATAACCTCATTACATTTGGCTCTAAAATAACAGCAAAGAAGCCTGGTACAAGACCCACAACCACCAACCCGTGGGCCTATGATGGAATCTTCCTAGGATATGGCCCAACCACCGACAACATCAAGTACTTCGACATTCATACGGGCACAGACAAAATTGCCCGGCATAACTCGAAAGATGAGCTCCAATATGGAGACGACCCATCCAATAGATCCCCAGCGGCGGCACATCTCCTTGAGACATTCACTGAAGGCATACATACTGACCACTGCACAAACACTGAACCAGAACGCCTCGATCTCACATTTAAGGACCCGAGACAACGTGACCCTGACACAATCATACAGGAGATTATATCAGACGCACCACGCCCGTACACCGCAGCAGCTGCTGCGAAAGTTAAAGCCCAAATTCACCGCACCAAATTTGAAAGACCGGATATAGCTGCCTTACTCCCGGAACTGGAACAGCTTGATATCTCCACTAATATCTTTATAACCGAAGTGTCCCACACACTTCCCCTTAAGAACACCAATACAATTCACCCCACCATGGGCTTTATAATTGGCAGTCATCCGGACATATCCAACGCCGTTGAACTAACATCTATCCAAGTCGGTTCGATTGCCCACACAAGGATACGGGGTTGGAAACGGAACCTCCGGGGCACTGTCATCACAACAGTTGATGATAAGCCTATCAAGTGTCGACAGGATATTATAGATGCTATCAAATCCGCTAAACACAACCATCGCACATCCATTAAATTCACCTTTGGTACTCTTACAGGCTTTGCTTTAAATGGTGAAGGAGTCCCCACCCTCCAGGCGGATCAATTAAACGTTATTGCCCATCATCTACACAGTATCAACCATAACCAGGACCTATGGCCCAATAAACAGGACTGGCCCATGCCAATTGACTCCCCGGAAACAGCCMACGAACAGATCCAGATATCCAAACTTACACGTCGCAAACTACTGGGTACACCACAATGGGATGATTTCCTCCAATCAGAATGGAAACAGCTCAATAGATACCATAAAGTAGGCATGTTTGGGGATCCTATCGATGCAACCCAGACTATGACAGTCCTCCCTTGGGTATGGACATACATTGAAAAGGAAAATCCGCTAACTGGGATAGCAGAGCCAAAGTCAAGGGGTACATGCAATGGCGGCAAACGATATGGCAAGGCAGTCACCCTTGCTGAGACCTATGCAGCTTGTGTGGAACAACCAATCCACCGCCTCACTTGGGCCCTTGCAGCAGCTCTGAACCTCATCTGTATTGGTTACGATGTTGGCAATGCATTTGCGGAGGCCCCGGCACCACAATCACCGTTTTACATGCAAGTAGATGAACCCTTCCACCAATGGTGGACTGAATGCCTCCACAAACAACCTATTCAACCAGGACAGGTCATTCCTATCAAGAAAGCACTCCAGGGACACCCTGAATCACCACGACTTTGGGACAAGTACATATCCAGAATCCTTATCCAAGACCTTGGCTTTAAACCCACTACTCATGAACCATGCCTTTATTACAAGCATGATCATACTGGCTTAACTCTGATCCTGAGACAGGTCGATGACTTCCTTATTGCCAATGCGGAGGAATCCGTATGCGACTCAATCCGGAGCCTCATACAGGACAGAATGACTAATCCTCTAAACGTATTGGGTACTATTAGAAAATTCAACGGTATCCATGTTGATCAGACCCGCTTATACAACCATCTTCATTGCAGCAGCTACATTGAAAAGATATGTGACCACCATGGCTGGACAAAACTAACCGCTCGTCGCACTACACGGAGTAGACCTACACCTATCAAAGAGGATGCTGCTTTCCAAAAGAAAATCCAGCTAACTGAGGGCCCCACAGATCCCCTTGAAGCGTTAAAAATGCAACAATCCGCAGGATTCAACTATAGACAGTGTATAGGAGAACTCATCTATGCCCTCACTATTTGTCGCATCGACATCTCCATTGCTGTCATTACATTAAGCCAACACTCTCATTCTCCAGCTAAAATCCACTATGATGCAGTAAAAGCACTGTTTCAATACCTTCTTATGACTAAACGAGAGGGTTTAACATACTGGAGACCCGCACCACGAATGGATTTACCTAATCAACCCGTTCCTATTCCCCTTTCAACAGACGCCAGTCGACTAACTAAATTCTATCAGTCCCCAGACCCTCTCCAAATTCATGGCGCCTGTGATACTACATGGGCGTCTGATAGGTTGCAAAGGAGATCCATGGGAGGAGTCATAATGATGCTTGCCGGAGCAGCTGTCTATTATCGCACTAGACTGCAACCAACCATCGCACAAAGCTCTACAGAGGCTGAATTTACTAACATGGCAGATGCTGGTAAAGCAGCTCTCTATTTAAGATGGATCCTAGAGGAACTCCACCTTGCACAAAAGACTCCGACCCCCATCCTGGCAGATAACCATGGTGCTGTTCGAATGGCGAATGCACACCAACCCACTAGACGAACACGCCATGTTGAAATGAAACACTTTGTGATCCTTCAATGGACAGACGATGAACATATTAACTTTGTGGAAACACGATCTGATGAAAACTATAGTGATCCACTGAGCAAACCAACTGGCAGAACTAAGTTCCTGGAGCACACGGATATCTTCATGGGACGTGTTCAACCAAGCTTCACAACTACATATACGACTTCTTCTCTATCAAGCACACAACTACCACTAATTAGTGAGGATAGAGCAGAGGAAATATCCAAATTTTCTACTCACAAACTCAATATACAGACCCCTTGGACACACACCAAATCATCTTGCTCCACTTGCAATCTAGATCCTCTATATGATCTACTACATACCAGTAGATTTTCTACGTATGAGCCTCTAGATTCTGCAAGTGCGGGGTGGTGTGAGCCTAAATCACGAGTAGATAGTGAATAAGCTCACTCTTTATTGTAAACCACGTATTATCGTACACTAAGGAGCCTATCAACATTTCGCACTGCGAGCCACAAAAGACAAAAGCACCATCCTCGAAATTTTTGAAGTGAGGTTCTGAACAAGGCCGGTCTGGACTTTTGGGGTCATTGGTTTACGAGTGCATCTACGTACGTACCGTACTGTATGAGATTTTTAAACGGTTCAAAACTGCATAGTAAGAGAGTTACGAGTACGAGTACCCTACGCACCTACCCAGTGAAAATAAGTACTGTTATATTTATTGCCACCACAAACAAGCCCCTTTCGCTTCCTTGCCTCTCCATGCGTTACGTAGGTAGTGAAGTACTTCGTACGATACACGACATCTCTGGTGACAAGTCTTCCAAACTTTGATGCTACCAAGAGAGGGGAGACGCCATAGGTGCTGTTGCCCGCAATCTCATACCTCCGCACACGCAACACAGACAACCAACCACGGTGCAATAAGATGCCGGTGCCGACGACCCTCCCCCTGGACATCCCCTCGTGGTCGGCCATCACGTCGGCCTTTCTGCTCAAGCTGACGACCTCCCTCGACGACCTGCTGTGGCTCTCCCCCTTTTTGTCCCTCTCGCCGTCGGTCTCCAACAAGCTCAAGCACTCGGTGGTCTATTTTCTGATCTGCGTCTGCGTCACCATGCTGGCCTTTGTCTTCGGGACGACGCTCCTGGCCCTGACGAGCCGGGGGGAGGACGGAAAGGAGCCTTCCGGCTACTGGAATCCGGAGCGGCTCCTGTCGGTCTTTTCGGCCTCGGTCCTCTTTTGCATCGCCCGGAACGATTTCGCCGAGTGGAAGGAAGAGAACTACGAGCACCACGGTGCGGGTGGCGTTTCCGGCCACCGGGGAGGCAGCGAACGGAGGAACAGCAGCAACGCCAGCGGCCTCTCGACGGTCGGGGAGATGGAGACCATCGAGCTGGTGGACTACAACAATTACGGCAGCAGCAGCAACAACAACAACAGCAGCAGCAACGGCAAGCCCCACCACTCCAAGCTGCGGTCCCGATCCAACGCGTCGCGGTCGTCCTCCCAGGCGTCCGGTGTCGGCGACCTCGAGGCCGGCGGGAGCTTTGGCAGCGACGGCGACGACAACGACAGCGACGACGAGGAGATCCGCGCCAAGATCGAGGAGGCCAGCAAGTCCCTCCGGCGCTTCGTCACGGTCTGCGTCATGGGGACCCTCGACGACATGATCGTCTTCTCGGCCTTTGTGGCGGGCGGGGCCGGCTCGGCCGGGGGGAAACACCACCACAAGCACAGCAACCTGGCCCTCTTCATCGGGACGACCCTTGCGGCCCTGCTCATCGTGACCATTTCCTGGTTCTTTTCGGAGATCGATTGCTTCAAGCGGGCGGTCAAGAAGATCCCCATGTGGGCCCTGCTGTCGGGGATCGCGGTGTACATTCTCGCCATGGGGCTGCTGTGACGAAAATTCGAAAAAGGGAACAACGAATCGAATCGAATCGAATCGAATCGAAGCAAACAAACGCGCTGTACAACGCACAAACGACGTTTCGATATCTTCACCACGAACAAAAGAAAGGGTGGATCGACATTGCGTTCATCACGAGGTTTCTCGCATCATGTCAACTTCAAAACGATTTGGGAAAAAATCACGATATCAGATCGAAACGGCCCAATTCTTTGAGTCAGCCTTTTTGAATGAATAGACTATGACGAGAAAATGTTTTTGGTACCGGGCGGATAGAGCAAGTGATAGAAACAAAAGCGGAAAGCAGGTGACCATACCATCGTCGTTGACGGCTCTGTTTTTCAACGGGTTGAATTCGACAATCGATTGCACTCTCCTATAGTTCCACTATCTTGACAAAACAAAATTGTTTTTTTTTTTGCGACGTTACTTTTCCGAGGAAAGGGATTGCGAGAAAACCAAAAAGAGGTGCGTGACGGTGGATCGGAAACGATGCCGGAAATCTCCCGCTCGTCAATGGAAGGCAGAGCAAGCGGTCTCTACCGCATCACAAAACCATTCGTCGCACGGAAAAACAAATCGTTTGCAGATCAGTATGTGACAAGCTTTCATTCGATCTCCATCCACTCGGGGAAGCTGTGTGATAACAGCCTTACAATTTAATAGTACCACTAGAACAAGCAATCTAACTTCCACTAGTGTAGTCAGAGGTCTTGAAATAAGGACATAAATCTAGTAAAACATTTAATTAGGACTATGGCAACGAATCATGCGTTCGGTCTATTCGGTAGGGCTTCCAGAAAGCAAAGAGCAACCACAAAAAAAGAAAGGCTTGCAACTATACCATGCGACATCAAAATAGCGGCCTCGGCTCTGCAAACGATCTCGATAAAGTGTTTGGGAGCGAAGGCGAAGTCGTCTCGAAAGATCCGCGAGTCCCAGACAATCCGCTTCGCTGCCGTGGCTCTTGGGTTGGAACTGGATTGCTCCGGTGGGACCAAGAACCGGTGTTTCTACGGGCAACGCACCCTCACTTCTTCAGGAACTCCATCCACTGGTCCTTCGTCCACCCCGAGGACACCTGCCCGGCCTCGATCCCGTTCACAAAGACGGTGGGGGTGACGTGGACGCCGCGGGCCCGGTGGTGCCTGCAGGCCCATTTCAGTTCCTGCGTCAGGCCGTTTCCGGAATTCCCGGAGAGGCTTCCGTCGGCGGGAATCAGCATCGCCCGGACGGCTTTCTTGTCGTCCTCCGACCCGAGCGGGGTGACCAGCGACAGGAGGTCCTCGTAGATCTCGGTCCGCGTTTTGTTCCAGGTGTCGGCGTCGCTGAACTTCTTGTCGTCGCTTCCAAAGGCAGCGTAGACCCCGCTCACAAATTCCAGGTATTTGGTGGTGCCGAGGACGGCCCTCACGGCCAGCGCCGCCTCGTGGACCATGGTCGACTGGGGATGCCAGGGCTGGACGACGTGGTGGATCCGGAAGGCCGCGTGGCTCTCCTTGTTTTGAATTAGCTGCGGAACGACCTGGTCGTACAGCATCGAGAACATTTTCGCCGAGAACGGGCAGATGAGGTCCAGGTAGCATTCCACTTCGAGGGAGGGGGGATTCTGTCCCTCGCCTCGAAACATCACGGTGCCTAGGGGTTGGGGGGGCAGGGGGGATGGCATGGTGAAATGGGCAGCGAAGCTCTCAGTGTTGCTACAATCCAATGAATGATTTGAGAGAGTTAGATTTTGAAAAATTTGAAGGTTCGGAAATAATRAAAGTAGCGCACTAATCTGGTACCTACGGTACAGAGGAACTGTCACCTTCGTCTGAGTTCTTTGGCACATTTTTTTGTGTTGGAAAATACCGCATGGACGAAGCTAGGAATATTCGTACCTTCCTAATGTAGTGAAAACCAAGTACTTACAATTGCAACGACTGGTAGAACGGTTACTAGCTTATCATTCCGCTTTCATTTCACTTAATTCGTTTCTTACAGCTATACCAAGACAGGAGCATAATTGCACAAGAAATTGCACAAGAAATATTGATAGTAGAAATGCGTCAAAAGAAAACTTGTCAAATACTTTTATTCACAGATCTGAGCAGATAAAACTGGACCTAGAATTGAAACTCTGTAACAAATTTCATAGTTTTTTACCTCTTTTGTATCTGTGGGGAGCACAATCAGTTCTATTTTACTATCTTGATTTGCTAAGGCAATGATACAGGGGTCAGATGATTAATCCTCAAATCCACTGGAACTCCTTATGCTCCAAACAAATCCAATTTCATTCAAGCGGTCAATACGGTCCTTCCTTTTGCAAAGAGACCGCTGTGTTTGTACCCATGTACCAAGTTTTGGATCTTCTTTGTATTTAAAACGAACATGAGTAGTTCCATGTTTCTGTTTGTA